ATTTAACTTATTTATATTTAACATTATTTATTTTAGTGATCGGTTATTTTTGTGAGCTACCGTATATATATATATATTTTTTCGGGTGAAAGATACTTTGTGCATATGCATTTTATTAAGTAGTTTATATCCAATTACAGATACACTAAGGTCCATTTAAGTTAACCTCACTTCTACACTTATAGACTTACCCAGTTATACCAATTGAATACCTTAAAGATGAATCTGTACCCTAGATGGGATCTTTAGAGGATAGAAAATCCTACCACTAGTTTATAAACTATCTAACCTAATCTAGATCCTGTCTTGACTGTATCCATCATGGGAGAGACACAGTTATTACCTTTCAGGGATATGGTTATAGAACATCCAGATATCCCCATATTGTATATATATTTTTTAAAAATCACAAATAAGCATTAAATATAAGACTTTATTTAAACAATAAGTTTACTGTAATTATATTAACAATCTTTGTAAAAAAAAAGAAATATAAATTAATTATAATCTATTACAACTAAATTAATTATATAAATTTTCATCAAGTGGATAAATTTATATAGATAATGTTAAATAGCTAATATCTGTTCAGAACAATAACATTATTACTAAAGTAAATATTTGTTTGTTAGTAAAGTTGTTTGAGTTTTGTAATATGTTAAATACTTTGATAAACTCTGAATTATTATTTTTGATTAAGTTGTTACTGTTACTGATAGTGGCATTTGAGATTTTTTTTCATATTATTCTCGAGAATAGTAAAGTTGTTAAGGTTACAGATCATTGTTTTTAAGCTTTGTAAAAAATTTTCAGCATATAATTGAAAATTTCTACTTTTTTTTTAAAATGTAATTGAGGTAAGGTTGATAATTGCATATAGCAAAATGAAGTAAATTCTGACTTGTTGGATTGAGTATGTTCCTTGGATTTACTGTTGTTAAGTTTTTATTATTGAATTTAAGAATAAGTTTTTATAGTTTAGATTTTTTTTTATTGATAAGAAAATGGTTATATATATATATAATTATTTATATTATTAATTTGGAAAATCAATAATATATATAAAACACAATTTTTAATATTGTTTAATATATATTATATAATATTACAAAAAATTTTTTATCAAAAAACTATAATAAGTTTATTTCTGATAACTAATTAACACTTTATTTTTAATTAATTATATTTTATAAAATATTAAAATACATCTATTACATTTATTAAAAATCAATATAAACAATTTAAAAACAAAAATCTATATAACTATATGATCTTTTATTATTAATAAACATTAAAACAACAATTATTTCTTATTAAATATCAATAAAAAATATGTAATAGTAATATATTATTATTACAAAATAACAACCATCAAATTCAAACAATTATTAAAAAACTTTTTTAATATCTTTGTTTCTTTTAAATAGTAATTTGAAAATAATTTATATTAATAATAATCTGGAAATGATTTATACTAATCAACTTATACTTTATTTAATTAACTATCAAATAAATATATATTTCAAAAAGTAGTCTAAATATTCAAAAGTATATTAAATATACTTTATAAAAATAAAATTATCAAAATAGAATATCCAATAGGTTTTTTTTATTTTACAATTAATTTTTATTATATTTTATATTTGTCTAATACAATTTTTTTTTTGTTTTACTTTTTATTCTTTATATCCTATTAAATTTTTAAGTAAGTAAATATAACTACCACTTTTAGTTATATTTAGTATATAATATTATTTTAAATTGTCTTTTTTAATATTAGCTAAATATAAATAGTGTAATAAATTAACATTAAATTTGTTACTATTATATATAAAGATGTTGAATTTTTTTACAATATATATTTTTAAATATATAAATTAAATAAAAAAATAATATTTATCTATTAGAAAAAAAATTTTTAATTTTTCTTATACTAATTGAAATTATTGCTTAATATACTTTTATTATAATAAAGATTTATATATATATATTTAATAATTAATTAAAAATTGATAATTCAATTTAACAACAATTAAATTATTATAAACCTGTTTATAAAAATGATAATAATATTTTCAAACAATAATTTTTTAATGACTTTTCAAATTAAGATATTTTCAATAATTATTCAAATTAAAATATTTTAATGATTTTTTTTTCAAAACAAATTTAATAATTTTGTTAATTAAAAAATATATTTTTTAAAATTTATTATTATTTATAAACAAGTATAAATTATTTGTAAACAGTATAAATTATTTGTAAACAAGTATAAATTATTTGTAAACATTTTAATATAATATTATCTATTTAATATAATATTTATTAAAGGTTTTATATGTATTAACTCAAATATAATAATAATAAATATATTAAATAAAATTTCATATTTTATATTTATTTGCAATAAAAAAAAAGTTATAATATATTATTTAGAATTGTATAATGAATCTTTAGCCTTTAATTCTTGTTAGGTACATACAGTATTTAACTTAATAAAAAATAAAATAATATTATTATTTACTTAATATAGATTAACAATAAATAAACTATTTATTAATATTATCTTATTTTTTATTACTAGCTTTTTCAGGTATTTTGTTTTGATTTTTTTTAGTTAGGTAAGTTGGTTCTGAAAGTTTAAATCTTGAGTACTGTTCAGGTCTTGATATAAGGTCATAAGATCATTATGAATAAAAGTTGAATCATGCTAATGGTAAAGAAATGTTTTATTAATAAAGTAGATAATACTGTGATGGATTCTTCAAGTTATCAAAAAATTACCGTACAATAAAAAACATGATGAAAATGTTATAATTCATTTTGGACAAAATAAAATAATAATTTGAAGTTGCGAAAGCACAGTTCACTTCTCTCAAAATTATCTAATACAATCAAATTAATAGCTATCTTAGGAAAAATACTGACCTTGCCAATTAAAAAAATATGTTTATAATAAACATCATAATGGAAGATTGGTTGCCTATAACGAACTTATTAGTTTTTAATCTTAGACACATCAAGAACAAAAAGGTTATAATTCTAATGCCAAATTCTTGCAAAAGGAATAGATTAAAAATGATTATTAATGACATTTGTGCACATATCAAGGTTCATATTTTAGTTGTGTGAGCATCTGGAAAATAAGCCTTACGTTAACCACATTAATGGAATCAAATATAATAATCGAGTAAATAATTTGGAATGAGTAACTCCTAAAGAGAATACTGAACATAAGGGCAGGTACAGGAAATTGTTCAGAAAACTTTGGATGGAAATGTCATTCCATTACTCTTGCAGGTTATACGCTTAAAATTCAAGGCCTTATATTTAGCGTGTTGTAGTAGAAAACGAAATATTGCTGATGGTTGGTGATGAATATATTATGAGAATTATATAGAACAAGATCCTAATGAAAAGTGGAAATACTGTAAATAGAGATTGATTCACGAAAATTTAAAGTTTCATCTCTTTGAAGAGTTCAATTGCGCAATGGTTTGATCTTTCGGGGATCGTTGGACTCAGGATATCTCCGAGTTGAACAATATTATATTCATTGGTTGTAGCATTAACATTTTGTCTAAAAGAAGAAGGCAAAGAATACGTAAATCATATTGACGGTGGCTATACTAACAATAATGTATCCAATCTCGAATGGTGTGCCCCGAAAAAAAACTCTCAACACACTGTGCACCTGGCAATTGTCATCGACATGCTATCAAACAGATTTTCGATGATGGCTCTACTCAAGAATTTTCATCCGCGTCTGAAGCACAACGTATAACTGAAATTGATGGATCATATATTGGAAAATTTGCAAAGGGCATAAGACTCGTGCTGGTGGATATTACTGGGAGTATGTAGATAATAATCATTGAAATATGTTCATATGTTTTTACTTTATCCAATTAGTAATGTGATAGGATCTAGTATAAAATATAATATGCGTAATGCCCGAAATTTTGTCGTTTGGCGATTTGGATTGGTAGGTTTGATTAGATTATTTTTTTTGTTTCACTTGCAAGGATCAACCGGTCAATCTTAGCAACACCCGCGATCCAAGAATCGAATCCCAATTTTTCGCGAGTGTAATGGTTTCGAATTATCGACTCCATAAAAAAAGGCAGAAAATCGTTATTAACGCGTAATTGAGAAATAGTAACAATAAATGATAAAGAGTCTAACTCTTATACTTACAGTAACTCCCACACAACGATTAGTAATGAAAATTAGAATAACCATAAACGGATAATAATTGCAACAATAACCGCCTCGGCGGGGAGACTTTGATCACTACTAGATCTTTCATTTTTCGCTCCTTTTACAGATTCACGCAATTAACGCAAAATGAAGATGATTCACGAATAAAGCTTGACCAAAGGGTCTTTTTATTAATAAATTTTGAAAAAAATTACGTCCATTGGCCTTATATAAAAAAGCTTGTTCCATTCCAATCTATTGTGTACACTGGATGAAAGCCTAAAGAACGGAAATCACATCCAGACACTTTTTAGTTATCTAAGCGTTCAACTAATTACCATGAAAATATTGCAGAAAGTTGTCTACCATCAAAGAATGTCTTGCATACTCATTACAAATCCAGTAAGAACTTGTGAAGTAACTGTTTGAGGATTCACAAACTCTTGCCAAATGACACTACTAGTATTGGAATTATAGTTATAGACTCTTACTGTGGGCGGATTTGCAATTGGATCAATGGATATTCCTTCCTAGATAAGCGTAATAATAATAATTAATAACAGAGACAAACAATCAGCAATCATTATTACTCTACTTCCCTCAACTCCCGCACCAATTCATGCAATGTGTCAAGATTTTGTCAGAATATAACTATTTACATATGCACAAATTAATGGTCAATGTTTTATCCTGATTACAACCCCATAATAGCAAAACTTTCCAAAAGTCTGGTCTATATTACTCTAGATCTTATCTTCTATCATATCAGAACAAATTTTTGAAAAATGTGATTAAATTGAGATATTTATTTGTATCGTACATTAGTAACATATAAAAGGAATTAAATTGAAAATGTAAAAAACAAATTTAAACTTGAAAATTTATTGTATAGTTGATTAAACTAGATATTAAATTAAAAAATATAATATAAACTTTTTTTTTTTTTATTTCTTAAAACCATAAAATTGTAATTTAATAAACTTATTTTTTTATAATGAAATAAATCATATTATTGTTGATTATCAATCAATTCACGAAGCAATACTTGTGATTTGAGATTTTTGACAAACGCATAAATCATGACATGAATATATTTTTTTTTGTTTTAAACGATCCAATAAGCTTGAAGTAAATTTGAACGCACGTTTAGAAAGAAAATCATAATGAATAATGCACGACACGTTTGCAATGTATACTGTAAATTGACAATATAAAAAATACATTTATGTATTATCAAGCACTGGACGTGCTTACGATTACAATGATTATATACAAATTATACGCAAAATATAATTCACAGATTAATCGGTGAAAATGGTCAATTTCATTGGACGATGACGCGTCTCCTGACGGGCCCATCGGCTCGAGGAATCTTTATATGGAAGATTGAAAGGTTCATTACTTTTAAATTAGTTTAAGCGAGTAACACGAATCGACCGGCAATTAATCACCTGTACTTCAAGAATGGCATTTTCGTAGATTTTCATTGGAGTTTTTTCTGAGTTAAATTCGGCAGGCAATTGGGCGAGAAGCTTCATGTGAATAAATGACAAAGTTCATAAATAAAGAAAGCATACCGAGTAAAAAATCCTAGAAGCTTACCATGGAACGACTTTCGCGAATGTATCCAGTCGCAGTATCATCCATATCATCTTTACCATTCACGTTAACATTTTCTCTTGAGTTACGGGGTGGCTCGACTATAAATGATCCATTTTGATCAAAATCAGTTTCATGAATAAAGAGATCGAACTCTTACCATGAACAACAGTCCCATTATTTAAACCGCGGACATCGATGTCGGCATTTTTTTCGGTAAACTTAAAATTAGGAACAATGAAACCATTTTTCCTGGGTGTATTCCAGTCACGATCAGCATTCCTCCTAAATGACGATAACCCTAAGGCATCGTCAAAGATTGGGTCACCGGAGAAAGGATCAACCGGATCCATAGTGATCGAATCGCCGTCGCGAATTCCAAAAAGAAATAAAGACATGGTTACCGAGGGGAACGGGAGGGGATGAGTGATTGTACTGAGTGGGTGCAAGATGACGCGCTAGCTTTCAGCAAGAACTTTGAGAAATTTTATTGCATCTTCGTGGATGAATGAATTTATATCAAAAAAAAAAAAAAAAATCATATGATGTTACTATGATATGTGTGCATGATTATTAAAAATTTATGTACTGTAGTTATCGACTTTCCAAAAAGTTATCGTGTAATTAATTAATCATTAGAAATGTCATCACTTGAAAGTTATCTTGTCATCATGACGGTAGACATGATATGATACATTAGAAAAAAACTTATATTTTCGGATTTGCCTATCTTAATTTGGAATGCAGTTTTTTCATATACGAATGACACTTAGCACTTTGATTTCTATGATACAGAACTACGAACAAACGTAAATATTACAGAATATACAATTTGACATTAAATAATTCCTTTCAAAAGAAATTATTCCAAGGAATATATACTACATAAAGGTAAAGAGAACGTTCAATACTTTAAAATAAGAAATTGTGGTAATTAGTCGATGGGAATGCTTATTAGGAGAGTGTATCGTATATGTAACTGTGTATGGTCTAAAGGACCATGTGAAGTTTTTAATAGGAAAGTCAAGAGGTTTGGATTATTATAATTATTAATTATTTATGATTATCAGATAAGATTTGCAATAAAAAGCAGTGTTTTTTATAACGTAGAATTTTAATTATGGGCTTTTTTTTGAGCATAAATACGATATGTTTTACCATAGGACTTATACTCCTTGATTTCGGCCGTCACCTTATCGGCCAACGCTTCAAATTCGAGGTTATCCATTGCCGTCGAATTTAATATTCTTGCTTTCGTGAACCTCATCAGTTCTTTTGCTGCATTGACAATACACGATGTGAGATCTCATTTGGATAATTGGCACGAAGGATATTTTTCAACAAGGAATTTCGCATACCAATGTCAACAGTGTTCTGAGATTCCGGCGACGAAATAGGATACCAATAATTGATCTTCTCCTCCGTTGTTATTGACATCAATTGTGGTTGGAAGGATTGTATTATCTCTTGAAATTTCGGAACGCTCATATAAATATAGTGATATTGTTTAACATCGAGCCCTAATGAGTCAAAAATAAACGGAGATAATTATTCACTAGTTTGAGCAATGGAAGCATGACCTTGATGTTCTTGCGACTTACACATTTGTGTGAAATCTGAAGTAATGGGTCCGATATCGTAAAATTTTCGATCCAATTCCATAAACTGCAAATTGATTTCAAACTCAGGTGATGAAGAATAATGAAAGTAATCATGCGTCAATGTGTACCTCAATCCAACCCCCTGGTTTGAGCACACGCAAGACTTCAGGTAAGACCTTGTACTTCCAAGCCTCTTCCACAAAAAAATCTTTCATGAAACGAAGGTATACGAAATCGAATTTTTCCCCGTCGAACGGAAGACCGTCGAGAATATCGTGCTCGTAAAAGGACACATTAGGTGGTTTTATATGTGTTGGAAACAGAGGATTCAGGTCCAAGCCGAAAAAAGAGCTTTTGGTGTATGTGGAAGCCAGGTCCAATAATAAGCTACCAGGGCCGCACCTAAAGTTTGTAATGTGAGCTTTTCTATATATAGAAAA